CTCTGGTAGCATAGTGGCTAAGGCACTTGACTGCTCACCAGAAGGCTGGCGGTTCAAACCCACCAGCCACTCCTCGGAAGGGAGGTTGGGCAATGCTACTTCCGTAGTGATACTGCCTCGGAAACCCAAGGAGGGGTCACTATGAGTCGGGGCCGACTCGACGGTAAACAACAACAACAACAAGAACATCTTTTTAGGTCATGTAAAAATCTGTTGAGAATTTATATTAATATAATTAGGACTAAATTTATGGTTTGTAAATTTTATAAAATTCTTCATGTATATTAGTCTTTTTTTTCCCATTTAAATTTACACTTGATTTTGTTGAGACTGGAACAAACTGTGTAGATTGTTATCTCAAAATGGGGTCAGTACTGATTTTAATGCTACTCATTCGTGTATCACAGTCATTGTTTTACATTTAGCCCTTTCTATTTTAAATTGTATTTCTGAGTATTTGACTTTCCAGTAAAGGAAAAGAGGGCTATTGCCTAATTTGACATTTGGTGTAGTATAACTTTAAGAATATAATTTTAATACGTGGCATTACTTTGTAGATGTCAGCATCTCTTGGGTAGTTATCTGAAAAAGTCTAGAGATGTTGCCATGTGGATTGTTGTAAGTCACGTGACCTTTTTGGGTACCTTTGGTCTGGTATCAGTGCTGTAGTCGGAATCAGTGATCTGGTGGGGAAGCTGATGTCGTCACTCTACTGTTGAAGCAGGGGCTTTGTCCAACCTTGAAATGACACAAAAAATTATTTTTGGTGGCCTTTTATGTGCAAGGTGGACATAAGCAAAAACAGAAATAATTGCATTGAAGGTACCTGACAAGCTTAGCCAAGAATCTTAAGTAAATGCCTTTAAGTTTTTAATTAAAAGTGTTAATGTCTTATAAAATTCATTATATGTACTTAAGAGAACATATTTGTCTTCTGAAATTGAGAATTAGTGATGCACATTGGAGAAAACTGAAACTCCCAAATCATTTCATCGTTTGTAGAATGAGGGTAGCATATTAGGGAAAGCTCACATATTCTAGGAAGGACATCCGCGTTTTCCCCCGGCATGTAATGGATCCGTCAGTAGGAAGGACATGCGCGTTTTCCCCCGGCATGTAATGGATCCGTCAGTAGGAAGGACATGCGCGTTTCCCCCCGGCATGTAATGGATCCATCAGTAGGAAGGACATGCGCGTTTTCCCCCGGCATGTAATGGATCCGTCAGTGTTTTGGGAACTCACGTAAGACGATAAGATGTACTTGGGCATTTAAAAATACTTTCTGAAGAGAAAAACACCTAAAGTTTATGTTAAAGGATAGAGGTGACAGAATATTAGAAACGTTTTTTTTTAACCAGGATTACAGCAAGAACTTAATAAATCTTAATTTATATTCTAGATGTTTAGAAGGATTTCTCTTATCTTAATAGTACTATAATAACATATTCTAGTTGTATAGACTAATCTCACATTGGTATTAACAGTTTAAGCAATCTTAAATTTTTGGGCTTTAAACTACAGATTTTTATTTTTAACAGAATAATTTTTTACAGGGTATCTTTAAGAATATTTTAAGATAGAAAATGAAACAAGCAACTCTCAAGTTCTAATTTAGCCCCTTGACTCATTATTAAAGGTGCTGGTATTTTTTCAACTGAACATTTTGGCATATTTGTTTCCTATATGTTAAAGAGTCTGCGAGATTTCAATTGCTAAAATTTTTGAGACGTTAATTAGGGTGAAAGTCAATATTTTCTCTAATAAGCAATTTCTGTACAATTTTTCTCAAGGTTTATTGGCATCCAAAGCTGTTGGGGTGGATGGTGCTGAAAAAAAGGAAGACTGCAGTGAAACGGCTCCAATGCTGGAGCAGGTATGAAATGGTGGCATTTGATTGTTTTCGAGGTTCCCACTGGAATGGTCACGGAAGTAGAGTGTCTACGTGATTGAAAGTACCCTTTTGATCATATATGAGAATAGGAAACGAATTAATTGATGATATATTTTTAATTGTACCTTCTCCAAGGTATACAGATAAACTACAGACTTAATTAGCTTTTGTTTTCAGTAGACTGGCATTAAAGCCTTTGTCTCCAAAATTTGAAGGCCTGGAGACAGACATCCCAGGGTATAGGTGTGCAGCTGGATCACCTTTAACTAACTTACAAAAAGACCCTTACACAAATACTCGTCATTTGTGAGTTACAACAGGGTTTTTGACATCTAATAAAGCTGCTTTTGTAAGAAGTTTCTTTTATATTGTAACAATTGGTGTTAGACTGACTGTGTTTTATGAATTGATCAATGAGCCATACATTTTTGCTAGGATGTATATTTTAATAAGTACACAAAAAAGAGAGTTTAAAAACTATAAGGGTCTGTCTCTAAACCATCTAATAGAAGAATTTAAAACTTAAGGTGGCAGTAGCTAGATTTTGCCTTGGCTACCTTCAGATTCCCGTAAGACCTGTGCATACCGAACTAACCCTTCAGGTTCCCACAAGACCTGTACATACTGAGCTGTGCATGCTTTTACATTCTCTAAGGGCTTAACTTCTTAGGCACTGTAAGACTATAAGAATACAGTAACAGCCATAACTGGATTTTCTTGGTTCTCCTGTTTTAAAATCTGAGCCTTAATGTAGTTTTAATATATCCTTTTTGTATTAGTTTAATTTCTTTATTAGTAGTCTAATGAAGAAGACTTTAAAATGAGTATCTTTTGCTCTTCTCTATATACGTTTTGAAAAAACAGTCCAAATTTCATTGATATTGTATTGAGTTTTTCAGGGTTATTTTAGGCCTGATTTGATAACAGTGCATTGTTTTAGTGCCTCCATTCATGTTGTATTAAATCAGTGGTCTTTTAAATTGATGAATATGTCACCAATTCGTACTTCCTGATTTTTTGTGATCATCAAACGGTTTAGTCATTGCCGTTATTGTCAATATATCTGCCAAATTTTAAATGACTTTTTTCCTGTGTACTATTACGTTTAATGTCCCAGATAAAACAATATTTTGTATTTTCACCATGGTATTCTCAGAATGCAATAAATCAGGGACTTGGGTAATAAAATGTTTCTGGAAAATTCATTACAATGTCAATCTTTCATTATGCACAATCCTGCTGAGGTGAGTGTGAGTGTGAAAATCATGTGATACACCTGGAAGTTAGTGTAGAGGGCAGTGCCTATTGCAGAGAAAGACACAAAAGGCAGCATTTCAAAATTGGGTTCAAAAAAGAGAGAAATTGGTAACTCGGCTGTTTCATTGGCATAATTTAAAATTTTTCTGACTGTCCTTGCCAGTTTTGTAACAAAGAGGCCTGTAATGATTAGTGAAACTTTGCAAAATAGGTTGATTTTTAAGGAACATTGTGCAATTCTCACCTTTTTTAATGTGTCATTCAGGTTGATTTTAGTGTGAAAATGTTTTATAACTAAACTTAATTTTTGTGGTAAGTGGTAGTCCTGATTCAAATTTAAGAAGTCGAGTTATAAAACTCTTAATTTTCCTTCTCTGTTGGTATTGACCATAGACCTACAGGAGAAGTATCGATTGTCACTTACCTCTGTTTGTCTTAATGAGTAAAATAATGTCACTTATGACAGAAACTGATAACAGGCCTCCAGCCAAAACTTACTGTGCTGATGGAGTAATTTTATTTATATTTTTAAAATATTCAAAGTCTGTGGTCTTGAACCCCCATTCTCAGCTTATTAATTATAGATTATTTAATTGTATTAGGGATATGTCATGTTATATTTATTTTTGGATAAAACTTGCATTAGTTGCATAATAATTCAGTAAGGTTTTAAAAATGTTAATTTGTCCTTGTTTAGAAGTTAAGCACCTTATCAAAATATTAATTTAAGTTTTAAAATCTTGTTTCATAACTTTGTAACTTAAGCGTAATGGATGCTGTAGTAATGTCTTTCACATATGTGAAGATGAACAATAAAATTGTTTATTTACAAGTAATGGCTCTAATTACTTTTCTGGCAACACCTTTTGTGATAAGCCTAGGGATGCTTTCCCTTTATGTAGTACTTTTTCAAATTATTAAACTGCACTTACACACATGCATAACGAGTGAATTCAACAATAGAAATGATGACAACCGAATGAATGGGACACTTGACACCAGACCTTTATGTGGTATGTCTAACATGCCATCTGTAGAGCAGAGGTGCCCTACTTACAGCCAAATACGTCTTTTTTTCCCATCAAAATTTGAGCACCTTCTATTTTAGTGGGAACAGAATGTTGTTTGGTCCCCAGGCAATGGTCCTTCATACTCCAGAGAGCTGCAGACTGCACACTTGGTGTCTACCCCTCACCACAGATGAGTAGTGAAGAGGTTTCTTAAGGACAAACGTGCTGCTCATGGTGCTGACTGTCTTAGTGCATCTCGTGTGCTTTACTCTCAGATACGTCAGTTACATACATCAGTATATACATCAGTACATACATCAGAGAGAGAATCCACTGTAGGCATTCTGACACCATGGATGGCAGGTGCATCCCGTGTGGCTCCTCCTGGCTACCTTTGAACAGTGGACACATTCACACATGTTTTAGTATGTAGGACATTTTACTGCCAAATGAATAAAATATCCTTTATGAAAGAACTGACAGAGTTCTAATTTTTTTTTTTTTAAAAGTATCAGTTGGCAGGAAGAAGGTAAAAATTCTCATCTAAGAATGCGACGTATTTTGTTTTTAAATCCAATGTTTTTAACTTACACTTTATCTCCTTGGTTTTTTTTCTTCTGTTGTTGTTGTTTGTTTTGTATTGTTTTTTAGTCTTTTAACTCTGTATTGCTGGTGGCTGTAATTTCATGATGCATTATGCTTATGAAATGCTAGCTTTCAGCACTAAAGTGAGTTAAAGATACTGTTTCGTTAATTTGGTCATTGTTTTTCTGTTGAGATCTTTCTTTAAAGGGAAACTGTTACTTCATCCTCCACATTCAAGTTTTTGATAAAAGAAATTATTTTATAAGAAAATTATTGAAAATCAAAAGCTTAAATACATTCCTCTAGCACTCTTAACACATGAAATAGTATTTATCTAATTATTATAATAACGTTGGTAATTAATGGTACCAAAATGGATATATTTAAATTTACTGCATAAAATATTTGTTCAGTAAGATAACATTTTATGTTCTGAGAATATTTTGAAAAATGTGCTAATACAATTTAGACTCCAAGTTGACAGCATCCCTTTAAAGACAGCCTGTTCAACTTTTAGTTAATAATTTGTGGGGTTCTTTTTGGTTTTTCATTTGTAATAGAATTGTTATATGTTGCTTAACAATGTTTTTGGATACTAAAGTTGCTTAACAATCAAAGTAGAATACAGAAACAAAAATGAAGAAACCAAAATAAAAATATCAATTTTTTATTATTTATTCAGGCGATTTCACCTAAACCTCAAAGTCAGAAAAAAAATGAAGCTGACATTAGCAGTTCTGCCAACACTCAGAAACCTGCACTGTTATCCTCAACTTTGTCTTCAGGGAAGGCTCGCAGCAAGAAATGCAAACATGAATCTGGAGATTCTTCTGGGTGTCTAAAACCCCCTAAATCACCACTTTCCCCAGAGTTAATACAAGTCGAGGATTTGACGCTTGTATCTCAGCTTTCTTCTTCAGTGATTAATAAAACTAGTGAGCACAGATTTTTAAAAAATAGTTGCTTATCCTATAAGATACATTAAAAACAGTTTGATTATAGTTAATAATTGTATATTTATAAGATTGCTTTTTACAAACTCAAACTTAAGTTGCTATGGTAGGGAAGGCTTGAAGCAATTTCATGGGGCAAAAACCGTATCCATTTCTGACTGGTTTGTTGTGCAGACTGTGCGGCTGGTTGAGAGACCTTACCTATTAGTGAGACAGATTCCACTGTAGTTTGACTCTCCTCAACTAATAAGCCAAGAATGATGAGAGGCCTGATTCATTACAAAAAAAAAAATTATATCTATATCTACATCTATATAAATCTGAAAAACAAAACAAAGCAACAACAGAAAGACAAAAAGAAAGATCAATGGTGTATATTTTTCTCAGCTACAAAGGCTATTGAATGGATTTATTTAGTGTTTACACTTGTCTAATTCTTCTCTGCAATACCTTTTATTAATTCTTATTCTTGGATTTAGAGTGTAAACTTTAGTTATATCTCATTAAAGAAAAAAGAAAGATCTTGCATGATCTTACTTTCAAAGATTTTACTGTTTACGTACATCTAATCTTTCAACAGTTAACTTAAGGTTTTTAAAAACAGTCTTTTGACATGGGTTTGGATGTATGGGACCCGCGTTTCTCGTGTTAGTTTTGTGTTCTGAGTTAGAGGCACGTGAGAGACAGTTAACCTGGAAAAGCACTGGATGAGTGCTGTTGCTCTGTACACAGTGAATGAATCAGTGACAGGATGAGGAAACGAATATGCCAGGGTTCCTCGTGAACCGTGCTCTCTCACAGTTTCCAGAACAGTTACAGATACTGGCCCTGAGAAGACTTGTTATATATATTAACCTCCTCTTCCATTCATTTGCCATATTTTTCATCAAACCGTATTTTCCCATTTTTGATTAGGTTTTTTTTTTTTTTTGCTTTTTTCCATTGTTCCTTGTTCTTTTCAATGAATAAATAGAAAGGAAGAGAAAATTTCATTGTTTCTTCATAAGCTCATTTGATTATGTCATTTATCATGAATATTGTCAATAGTAGTCGCTTCAGTGTCACCTGACATTGATAAGTATTTTATTTTTGAAATTCTCAGGCGTTGGTACTACTACCACAGTGTTACAGCAATTGATTTTTTTGTTCTTTCACTTTTTTCAATTACCATGTCTTTCATATAATTTTTTATAAAGTTAAACTTTTAAATACTCATTTAAAACATCAACCTCTTCAGACCTCTCTTAGTCCCTTCTCGTAAATTAATGTGAACTTGTTGGCCTATGTAGTACTGCCTATACCAACTAGTCAAATATGTTTACATAAGATGTAGAAATGAGACACTAAAGGTTAAAATATTTACCAATGGCAGATTTCCAAATTTGTATATTGTATAGTTAGAAGAGGCTTAAATGACTCACTAAGTTAGTTGTAAAAAAACAATATTTGAAGCAACAACAGTGTCATTTTCTTTTAGACGTCATTATTTGCCCAGAATAAGAACTGAAAAGTTGTTTGTTCAGTTTTTTTTAATGAATCAGGCCCAGAAATACATTTATAGCAATCCATTTGGGGGAATGAGGGTGGGAAAAAATTATTTACATTAGTTTTACTTTGGCAAGTAAAGCAAAGCACTAGATTTATAATGTGTGTCAGATTTTTGTCACCTATGCCCCTGCCTTTTTTTTTTTCTTAGTGTTTCTAGATTTGTAATGTAGCAAAAGGCACATAGATTTTTTTCTTTTTGTTTTGATACAAAGGGGGCTATTTTCCCTAAAGGAAGAATTGAAATTTACACAGTGGTCTATGATTAGAGAATTAAGGATAGTCTGTCACTTGGGAACCTACCTGAAATTAATGTTCTATCTTATTTTCTTTTGGTTGTAGTAGGTTTTAGATTTTGGAATATTTTGATGAACCTTTTGGTGAATGAGGACAGTTTTTGTCTTTGATTGCCTTTGGAACATTCTGTTCCTTGTGGACACCTTAAAGGAACATCAGAGGGCAGAATTTGAATCCTTTTTCCCATTTATCTCCTTACATATTGTAAGATGAACTTGGGATGTATATGCTTCATGAACATTGAAGATCTTTTTCTAGGTCCTCCACAGCCCGTGAATCCCCCTAGACCATTCAAGTCTAGTGAGCGGAGAAGAAGGTCTCAGCGTTTGGCCACCTTGCCCATGCCTGATGACTCTGTAGAAAAGGCCTCTTCTCCCTCTCCAGCCACTGATGGGAAAGTATTCTCCATCAGTTCTCAAAATCCACAAGAGTCGGCAGGCCCAGAGGGTAATGTATATGTTGATTTGATATAGAATCAAACAAAAGAAGATAAAAAACTAAGTGATAAAGTTTATTAGAATATTAAGAAATCTCTTTTTCCCTCCTCATGTCTTTTTGGATTTATAAGCACTTCTTTTATATGCTTTTAACATGCTTATTGAGTGCTGCCTTTGTGCCAGGCACTGTTTAACTTAGGTGCCGCTTTAATCCGTGTTGATATGAACTGAGCCAGTTTGTCTAAATTAATACTATATTGCATTCTTTATTTTGTGTAGTGCCTGATGTTGCACATCTGTCACTTGAGAAGCTGGGATCGTGTCTCCCGCTTGATTTAAGTCGTGGCTCAGAAGTTACAGTACCGGTGGTTCCCAACCCTTCTTACCATAATGAATTCCCCAGAGTGGAAAAGGAAGACCTGCAGATGCTTACGTACTCCTCCAAAGCAGGGACTGACGGAAGGGGAGCTCCAACAGCGTCAGGTAAGTAAGAATCCCTTTATAAGTCACTAACTTTGTAGTGATAGGGTGTATGTATCCATTTTGATGTACAATTATGTTATTTGAATTCCTGTATAAGAAGCCCTGGTGGCACAGTGGTTAAGCACTTGACTGCTAACCAAAAGGTCAGCAGTTGGAACCAACCAGCTGCTCCGTGGGAGAAAGATGTGGCAGTCTGTTTCCATAAAGAATACAGCCTTGAAAACCTTATTGGGCAGTTCTGCTCTTTCTTACAGGGTCACTAGGAATCAGTGGTTGACGGGTTAGTTCCTGTGTAATTCCTTTTCATAAATATGTTTCTATGACACTTAATGGAGAGAAGATTTCTCTATTAATAGTTCTTTTGTGTGACCATTTTTAGCTGTCATATTTCCAGGACATGCTTCTTACTTTATCACTTTAATTTACAGTCACTTCCTGTGTTAAGAAGTCTGACTTAATCTTATGTAAATTTGTCCTCACTTTGAAATGATTGAACCAACCCCTACTAGAACCACATTCTTCCTCCCGATCACCTTCACTCACTGCACGTGCAGCTTCTAAATCATTGCACCTAAAGTAAGGGTAACTAAGGACCATTGGCACCTGGTCCAACTTACACGTTCTGAAGGACAAACTTAATATCCGATAACGTTCGTAACCTGTTGACTGCCTATACTTCCTTCTCCCTGTTCCTTTCTTACCTGTCACTGCTAGAGTTACCTTGCACATCTCTTATTTTAATAGATTAATGCCTAGATCTGAAGATTTACAGGTGTTGAAATATTTCTTACAGCTTCCCAAAGCTGAACCATTGTCTCTTGACTCTTTTCCTAAGTCCCATTTATAATTAGTTTTCCTTTTCCCCTGAGATTGTTGAATTACCTGAACAGGTAATTTCAATTTCTTTTTTTTGCTGAAGGGTTTATGCAGTTCTTTAATAATTTGGAATTTTTTGCTTGTTGAATAGATGAAAGTATGTTGTTAAAATTACAATGGACTTGTCTGTCCGTTGGGAAAATTGTTTGTAGATGTGCATGTGCAAATGTATTTTCCTTAAAAGCACATGTGTTCTGATAATGGTAGCTAGGCTGAAACACAGACCGATATAAAGAGGACTATAATGAAGTGTTAGGTTAGCCAGATTATGTATCCTGAAATGTCAGTGTGGTGATTGTGCATGGAGCTCTTCATTTACATTATTTTGCTTTTGTTCAGGGTATTAGCCCAGTCCCCCCCTCCCCCCGAATTTCTAGCATAGTATTGGCAATATGGCTGACTGCCATTGGGACATGGTTCTTTTTATTTCTCACTGTAGTTAGAACGACTAGGGTAGAAAGAAGACACCAATATTTTCCTTTTTAAATATTAGATAAACTACTTGGGAAAAAGGAAGGTTGGGCAATCCTACTTCTGTACTGATACTGCCTCGGAAACCCAAGGAGGGGTCGCTATGAGTCGGGTTTGACTCGATGGCACATAACAACAACAACAACTTGGGAAAGTGAAAGTAGTAAGACAGTTTTATGGAACACTAAAAGAGGAGTTCAGATTTATAATTTGATGCATTTGTGGATTTGTTTGTTGCAGACTGAGGATCATCCCATGGGTAGGAGAGATTGATAGCACTCTGGCTACCACTTCAGTTCCCTAAACAAAGGAAATGCAGAGCTTTAAATCTAACAATAAGTTTATTCAATACTTGAACACAGTGTTTGAATTTGTGGAGTGGGAGTATAATTTTTTTCTGAGACCTCTTTTTATTTTTTGTAGTTGGAGAGAAGTAATGGAATTTAGGCCATATTCTAATTGGATACCTTTGAGTAAAGCCTTTGAGCCTGCCTGGCTTGTATGCTGGTCGGCATGAGTATACATGTGAGCAGGTTTGCTTCTCCCCTCCCTGAACTTCTGGGAGCACTTGCTGGACGTGGTCCACCTCCTCCATTGTCTTCTGTTTAGATTTCAGTGTCAGGTTGTTTTGGCTTTTTGTTTCCTTATATTGTAATGCATTTGCCTGGTTGGTTGGTTTCCATCTCATTTATAAAAGAAATCTTTGTTACTGGTGAGTTTTTAAACTTCCATAGAAAGAATTACTTACCAGAAGTTGTATAAAAGACATTTTCTGTATTGTTTTTGTCAAATAAAACTGCTGGGGTGTTGGGAATGTTGAGATGGTAGCTGTTAACTGTGAACTAGTTTATTAGACTTAAGTTGTTAATTACTTTTTTGAGTACAACCCAACCAAGCTCACTGCTGTCAAGTTGGTTCTGACTCATAACGACCCTATAAGACAGAGAAAAACTGCCCCATAGGGTTTCCAAGGCTGTAATATTTATCAGAGCAGACTGCCTCATCTTTCTCCACAGAGCCTCTGGTGAGTTTGAACCACTGACCTCTTGGGTAGTAAGTAGCCAAGTGCTTAACTTCTGGGACCCTTGTTTGGGTATAAGATATTTTCGTATTGTTGAGTTTCGTAGTCATGCAGAAGGATTGAGGAGATGATGAACATGATCAAATTATTATATACACTTGCTCTTAACAGATTAAAACTTGCTTTTAATTGTTTTTCCAGTAGAGATAATGAATTTGCACTAATCCATCTACACTGCTCCCCTGGGACAGATGCCAGTGTGATTAAACAGGATTAGGAGTACTATGGATGCCCACATTACCACAAGAAACTGTTGTACCCCTGTGAAAACCTGTATTTTTATTTTAATATCAGAATATTTTATCTAACAGAGCCAACTTGTTTTATGTAATGATGGAATTTAAGAAAAGCCTGTTAGTTCTGTTGCTAACTGTGAATGTGATCTATATGCTAAATTATATATATTACCAATATTGAACTGCCTCTGACTTCTTTAAGGAGATAAAGGATATGGGTGATGGATAGAAAATTATTTTAGCTGTTAAATCTTTTATGAATTCTAAATAGTGTTATTGATGCTAGACCTGTGGTCAGGATAGAAATGCTTAACCTTGAAAAGGAAGCTTTTCATGTGATACCACGTACCTTAGGTCCATGGGTATATATCGCTCCCTTGTTAGACTCCTTTCTTAGGAGCCCTGTGTGGTACAGATGGTTCAAGTGCTCAACCACTGGCCAAAATGTTGGCTGTTCGACCCCACTTAGAAGTGTCTCGGAGGACAGGTCTGGTAATCTGCTTCTGAAAGGTCACACAGCCTTGGAAACCCTGTGGAGCAGTTCTGCTCAGTGTACACAGGTCACCGTGAGTCAGAATTGAGTCAAAAGCAACTAACAAGGGAGAGAACAGAAGAGAACGTGCATAAGATAGAGACTTTGTCTCTGAGAACCTTAAAATCTAGAAAGGACACATAAATTAAAACAGAAAGGTGAATGACTTTTCCATTAATGACAGCTATAAGTGCTGTAAGAGGCACAGAGTGTTTCTGGATTCAAAGAGAGAAAAGATTGTCCTCCTTTGGGGCCCCAGACAGAGTGGGAAATGGAATTGGATGATCTTAGCTGAGTTGGTAAGCTAGCCTCTTAACAGCACTGGAGGGACAGCCTACCACTAGCCCACCCTTCTTCTGCCCTTTTGTCAGTAATGAAAAGAAATCTACCTCACTGAAACTCAGGTTTTCATCTCTGTGATGAAGTTGTACTAGAGAATGTTTGTCATCACTTTTGGCTCTGAAATTTTGATTTTTTAAATAGGTTATTATATCACTGATCATACATTTTGATGGAATCTAAGCTTCTTCTAAAGGAAAGATCTTGATATGGTAGGATGATTAATTTTCACCTTCTAATTTTTAAATACTCTTCGTTTTCAGATATTCTTAGAAATTTTCAAATATTCTTAACTTCTTAATAATCACTGAAGACAAAGTTGGGATTAATAGATGATCTGAAAATAATTTTAAGTGTTTTTCATTAGCTTTGTGGTGAAATAAACACCTTCAATAACATTTTCATTTTCTCACTTTTGAAAAAATTGCTACATAAGTATCAAATATTTACCTCTGCATTATTGCAGAATATTATTGTTAATATGGATATGAATATTGGAACATATGGGTACAAAGACCATATGTTTATAATATCAAGATGTTCATTAGCAGACCACTAAGTTGTAGGGTGACATTGATTGAAATTCATTAAACTTTTCTTCAGTGCCACTAAAAAGTCATATCTCAAATTAATTTTTGAATGAATGGCATATAAAAGTAAATGAATACTGTTAATTATCATTATAGTTAAATTAGTTGGACTCTTCACGTAGAGAGTCCATAAATTATATTACTGATGGCCTAATATACTTTTGTCACCAAGGAAACCGGAGGTAGACCATGAAGTTGGTATGAATTAGTATGACAAAAACCATGGCATAAATGCTACATCGTCTGCCTCTGTGGCTGGTTTTCAAATGTCTTCATTTATAGTCCAGCATCTTACATCAACTTTACATTTACTTTTTAAAGTGTTCTTCGATTTGTTTTTTCAGAATTGTACATAGCATAACAAAACTACAACCAGAGATCGCCTAATCCACCCCTAGCTGCGCCCCAAATGTCCATGGTTTCCACAGAGCTTAAAGTTCCCATAGAGAATCATGGGGTTTGCCTGTTTTAACTAGAAGAATCTGAGATACTTAGCATACCAGAGGGGGCTTGTGATGTCATTCTACATTCATGGTTTTTACGTTGTGTACAAGCAGGTGTGCTTGCGGGAGCTACATCTCCTCCTGTAATCCAAAGAGCTCCTTTTTTTCTTTTCTCTTTTTTCTGTGTCATATATTAGATTGTCATACAGTATTTGATTTGAAGAGCATGTTCTGTTGATAAAGTTGAGTTTGAAAAATCACTGTTCTATACACTAATGTCTTACTACTTTGGCTCCCAAATGCTAACCCTTAGTGAAATAAAAGCAGTGTGGTGAACTTCTGTGAAACTCAATGTGTTCTTAATGAATTCTAGATTAAGACTATTTTCTTTTCTTTTTAATATGTGTGAGTATTTTACAAGTCCTACCGTTATCATCATATATATGGATATTTATTTTAATACCCTCTCTTGTGTGAAGTGAAATGCCGACAGCCCTTTGTCTGTCCCCCAGTTTTGCTTTTGCAGTTTTACCGCTTATGAAATCTAAAGGTTTGGGAGCCACTAGAACATGTGCAAACTGCCTGAAGGAGTGGTTCTCCTGACAGCATCTGGGATGACAGTTCCTAGTCCCTGTGCTTGCCTCTGTGCTCTGAGCAGGGGTCCATGACCATTCTGTTTTCCAGTTACCTGAGGGACCCTCCCCAGCAGAGTAGCTCAGTGAGGTAATCCCTAGACTTGAGCCTCCTGCCCTGCAGCAGCAGGAGATGTGGAGCAGTGCCCCACCTCTTACCCTTGAGGGCCTGCTCCCCAGCAGCAGGGACCTCACCTCGAGGCCACAGGCTTTGTCTGTACTGTCCCTGAGGACTTAGAAAGCAGTTCCTCAGCATCTGGATTGTAAATGCCTTATC